AAGGGAGATCTCATGTTCCAAATTTGATGTTACAATATTTGGATGGGTAAGGGCAGTGGGCAAACTTTTTGAAAATCTAGGTGCCCTTTGCCCTTCAAAACCTGTTCGGGCTCCATCCTTTAAATTTGAACATAATTGTGAAACAAGCGTTGGGTTGGGATGTCCCGCTAGAGAATCTTCTAAATTAGCTACAAAAATAGGTGTTAGTGATCTAACTACATTACTATCGTTTGTCTTGGTTGGAATGGCGCTGGCTGCTGGATGAATGGACCTTTCCTTGTTTTCTATATGGTTGTAGACTTTCGTTCTCTGTACAGTAAAGACCGGCATGTTCCCCTTCACAGCGATTACAGATATGTCGGTACCTGCACTGCGCTCGTTTGCAAGCGCCGCTCCTATTGAAATCTCGGCAAATGCCCCCTTGTTCGTTCCCCGGGGTGGCATAGTGTTGGGGTCCTTTATGGAAAAGAGGGTATTCCTCTCTAAGACTGGCTGGTGGTACTGCAAAGGTCATCAACCATAATTGCTGATCTATTTCGGACCAGTTGAGGGATAGGCTAAGTCCAGCCTTCCGACGAAACTTGATGTCGTAAATACACCAACCCACCCCTTTGTGACAATGAGCAGCATGGCGAATAATGGTCATATATTGCAACAATTCCTGGGCTCTGTTAGGGAATTGATGCGTGAAAACGCTCATATAGGTGGTGAAGGCTGTTGTCCACTTATCAATGTCCGTGATATTTGTTGTGGACTGAGTGGACTGCTTAACTTTAACAATAGAGTTTTCGACCGTTAGTACAACGGGCTGTTCATCTACCGTATTGCATAAATTTTTTGGCAAAAGTTTTGACAGCTCAAAAAACTCACCCGACTGGATCTTCTTCACGTACGATGCCGGTAGGTCGTGGAAAGATTGTCCGTATGGGAGATGATTACTAGCGGGAAGACTCTGCGAAGAGGAATGTGGCGCTTCGGGCTCGAACGTTTGGAACCTTGGCGTCGAGATTGGCGTGATGTGGTTTATCAACACTGGGCAAAGCTCCGTGCCCGTGGTTTGTTGTGGCTCATTCGTAGGCGCAGTTGCCATGGCTTGTACTGCAGCACGAGCGGCGTTTGTTGCGATATCGTTCACCGATTGTTCGACCGTCTTCGCGACGATTGATTGGATTTGGGCCAACTGAGCGTCGTTCAGTAGAGGGTTTTCGCTTGAGCTTTCGTGTGACACAGATCTTCGCTCGACGAGTGGTGTTTGCTCGCTGTTGTTCGCAATATCAACAATTGTCGCAGCTTCTGTGGCGGTATTGTTCGACGACGACGTTGAAGCATGTTGTTGCAGTCTCGCGACCAGCGTATTTCGACGACCATGGTCAGATAAACCTTTGTCTAGACATTGTTGTCGAAGATCGTTTACCGATGGCTCATTTGCATTCTCTGCGCGTTGTTGTACAGCTATGCGTTGGCGTCGGGCGGTAGGCATTGCCTCGTGAGAGATATATTACAAATTTAAGCAATTTTTTTTGCTGTGAAGTGTCCTTCACTTTGGCTCACCGGCGACACAATGAAGCCTGTAGCCCAGGCAGGAAGCATAAGCAAACAAAACAGTAGGACCTGATTGGTCTATTTTCCCGCATGCATGGGAAGAAGTGTTTGACAGTGGTTCATTGTTATTTACCGAGTGCTTTGCACGTGAGTGATCACGCGTTTTTAGACTGACCTTTGTGCCTAACCTGGTCTAATCAAAGGACTTTGCACAACTTTGGTTATATCCGAACGCTTGTTTCATTAACTTAAGTTTATAATGCCTATGGGCATGTATAAACTTGCTTTTACAAGGATATCAGTATTTACTAAGTAACGAACTTTAGAAAGAATACCAATACCTCTTCTAATTTTTTTTGCAATATGGCTGATCTGGTATTTCCAAGACAGGTGGGAATCAATAAAAACACCAAGATATTTAATATGATCAACCTTTTTAAGGTATCTACCAGAAATACTAAGATTTATGTCTATGTCAGGTTTTTTTTGGTAAGGATGAAAGGTAACAAAATTTGATTTTTCAATGTTTAGGGATAATTTATTTGCACATAACCAGACGTGGATGTTAACCAACTCTTTGTTAATTTTAGATTCTAGCACTGATATGTTCTTGTTTTCATAAAATAAATTGGAATCATCAGCAAAGTGATGGAAATCAAATAGATCTGAGCATTCATGAAAATCGTTGATATATAAAATAAATAAGAGGGGGCCCAAAACAGATCCTTGGGGTATACCACAGTTTACTTTATGGAAATTAGACATTATATTATTCACAGACACATAATGTTGCCTATCAGTAAGATATGAAACAAACCAATCTTTTGCAACACCCCTAATACCATATTTTTCTAGCTTATTTATTAAAATGCCATGATGGACAGTATCAAAGGCTTTGCTAAAATCTAAAAATATACCGCACGAGTAGCTTCGATTTTCAATAGCATTTTGGATTTTATCAGTAATAGTAAGAATCGCATGCTCTGTTGAGTGATGTGAATGAAAGCCAAATTGTTTGTCATAAAGTATACATTTCTTCTCAAGAAAATTGATCAGACGAGTATACATAAGTTTTTCTAGTAGTTTATTAAAAATAGAAAGAAGGGAAATTGGTCGATAGTTATTTAAACTTCTGTAATCTCCCTTTTGGAAAATCTGGTATAATTCTAGCTATTTTGAAACTTTGAGGTACAATACCAGTGGCAAAGGAAGCATTAAATAAAATCTCTAATGGCTTCGAGAGAACATGTTGAAGAAGTTTTAATACTTTGATAGGTATACTGTTAGGACCCACTGTCTTGCTGGTATTTAAACATGAGACTTCTCTTTCAATCTCCGCGAGGCGGTGGTAGGAAATAAATAAAAACTCTCAGAGTTGCATGTATCAATGTAGTCAAGCGGCGATTTACTGACATGAGGAATATCAGTGGCAAGTCGATCTCTCACATTAGAAAAAAAAACTACTAAAAGCATTTGCAATTTCCTTTGTTCCAGTGATCTCTTGACCATCATGTATAAGTTTCGTTGAGATTGAATTAGAATTTGGGTGTTTCATGTATATAATTTGTTTAATTCCTTTCCATACCAGCTTAGTATTATTTGAATGATCATTAAAATAGTCGTTGTAATAATTTTTTTACTAATTCGGGTCAAATGATTTATTTTATTTCTATATTTTTTAAATTTTAAATAATTTTGTTGAGACTTCGTTTTCAAGTATCTTTGATAACAGGTATTCTTCTTGTGAATGGATTTCCTTATACCTGATGTTATCCAATGGTTAGATTGAATTTGGCGCTCTTTTTTTGATAATTCCTTAATAGGAATATGCTTATCGATAATAGAAGAAACTTTTGCATAAAATGAATCAAACATTAACGAGGGTTCAAAACCATGACTAGCAAGAACCTCTTGCCAGACAACAGCTTGTACCTCAATAGATCAGTTTCATTAAATTTCGAAAAATCCCTCTTATATATCTTAACATTAGATGTTAGACATGAAAATTTATTGATAATTAGAAAATTAGCCAAATGCTCTGTAACGTCATAAATTATATTGCCACTTAATGTGAACTGCTCCAAGGCATTATAGAAAATATTGTCTATAAGAGTAGCTGTATGGTCAGTTATCCGTGTTGGTTGTAAAATATGCATGTGGCTGAAAAAAATATGTGCCTAAATTATTTATAAATTCGTCTGTTGCAATATGAGTTTCATATTTTAGAAGATACAAATTGAAATCGCCCAAAATCAAACACTGTTTATTTTGTCTATGAATTTTATCTAAGATGGATTTCAAATAATTTTGAAAAACGTAAAGGTTACCATTAGAGTGTCTATACATTAAACCACAAAGCATATTTTGATTGACCTTTCCTTCGATTTCGAATGGAAGTCGGTGTTTTGAATCGGTTGTAGATGTCCTTGGTTTCCTCTTCTAGCATATCCACGAATTTTTTGGTGATGTCTTCTTCTCCTTCGTGTTGCTGGGTATAGTGTACTAGCTTAGGTTTATATATGGTGTCGTCGAAGCATTTGACGTAGTAGCAGAATCCGCTTGGGTTGTGTTTTTGGTACTCTGTGGTGCTTGACTCGTTTGGTTTTTGGTTTTTTGCATTTAGTTTTTCGATATAATATTCGAAGTCTGGGTATATAGCGAACGGGACTGTCTGTGTTCTTCCGTAGTTTTCGAATTTTGTGGTACTTCCGGGTTTTGGGTATTCGTGTCTTTGGTAATCGTTGTTCGAACATAATTGGAGTTCGCTTGATCCGAATGCGTTAAGACACCGGTCACATATGTATTTTTTGTGTTCGTTTTTACTGATTTGTGAACCTACAAGCCTCGACATATCCTTAATGACACTGTAGTGGTCTTTCCATAGAAAGAGTCTTATGAGGTTGGTTTTTCCGGATACCCGTAAGGGGTAATACACCTTAAGGCTTTCGTCGGCGCTCAACATGTTGACGTAAATATTGTTGTTTTTCTCGAATTTATTATTTAAGGGTGTTGGGAATTCGGTCCCTTCCCAGTTTAGCTCTTTGGATTGTTCTTTAATTAATTAAGTTCCGTTGTGATTCTTTCCGGACGGATGTCGGTAGGGTTTAAGGCACGTGTGATAGCCCACTTGAAACATTCGTCGTCGTCGTTTTTCAAATTAATAATAGCCTTCTTACTTACCATGGATTTGGGTAGAGGTTCGTGTTTTTTACCCCTGAGGGGTTGTAATTCTCCGATGTGGATCTCTAACTGGGTAACTTTGCGTAGTCTCCATCCACTTCCTCTCCTTTGGTATTCGGAGAATGACTTTAGTATTTTTTCCCTCATTATGCTTTGAGCCTCCTCCGTATCGTCCGTACCGATAAGTTTGTGGTTTTTTGACCCAAAGTGAGCGATGGTTGACACTTCTTCCCAGGTTTTCGGGTCGCTTCTTACCATTTCACAAGCCAAGGACATCCTTACGTTTCTGGGTTCCGTTTTAACCTCATCTTTCGTGGTGGTTAGGAAGTAGGATGGATCGTACGCGCCTTTGGGATTGATAACATACTTCTTTACCTTTTTCTTGATGGCATGCTTGGCTAGGATGGGTTTCAGGATTTCCATCGACCTATCCCAAATTTTACTTAACTTATCACCCACCTTTAGCTGAAGACGGGCAAACTTCTTTTTACCTTTCCACTTGCCCTCTGGAATCCTACGGTTCTCCTCAGCTCGCCTTTCACGAGGCCATGCGTTTCGTCGTAACCGTTGGGATTCCTTCTTCCACTTTTGTGCCTCGGCTTTCCAGTCCGTGACTTCTTTTCGCCGTCTTTTCTCTTCTTTGGTGATATCGCTTTTCCATTTCTTTGTATCCTTTATCGCCTTTCTTGCATCAGCCTCGGTTTGCTTCCTTCGTCTTTGGAATTGCCTTGCAACAGTCTTAACTTCCTTTCCGATTGCCTTTCTCTTTTCCTTCTTGAGTAATTCGTGGAAGTGGTTTTTAATTTTTCTTCAATTTTTAGGCCTCTTTCCCGGGCCTTTTCCAAAACGTTAGTTTTCATCCGCTCAATAGATGCGAACTTTCTGTCCGAAATTGGAATACTTGGGTTAGAAGTATTCATTATTTTATTATATAGAAAAAGTTTATCTATAAAGTGATTCTAAGGTTGATTCTGTTTTCCAGACCAATAAGGTTTGAAAAAAACAATGAATACTCCCAAGTCTTCCAGACATTCGGACGTATGAGAAAAGGTGTCCTTTATTTATATAGAAGCTTTTACCTTGTCGATGTTGATTCTGTTTGTAAGGCAGAGGATCCGCAGTTGCGTGTTCTGGATTTAACAACCTCGCCAGGTCACTACTTGGCAACCTTAATCAATCTGACCATGTAAGGCTTCTTCCATTTCAGCCTCTATTTGCATATCATCCAGCGTTTCCTTCTCCCAGTTCAATACCTCGTACGATATTTCCCCGACCTCCCTCTGTATTTCATCCATTTCTTCTGCTTCCTCTTGTCGCTCTGCTCTGTGTAGAAGGTCGGGGTGGGTGTAAAGGCGGGTGATTTCTGTTGGTATACCTATACAGATTCCGTCTTTCTTATTCTTTTGGGTTTCGATACAGCAGTCGTACGGATAGGTGGATTCCGAAATGGTGATGAGAACCATGATGCCTTTTGGTTCTCCCTTAAGGTTGTTTACCCTGTGGATTTCAGCACCTTTTCCCATCCATCCCTTTCCGAATTTAACCTTAAGCTTCGCCGGACCGTTTTCACCATCAACTTCCATAGTGATCATTGTGTCCATGTAGTCAACCCGGTTGAGCGTCCTTTCAATATAGTCCATTTTTTCCGGGCAGTTAAAGTAGAGTTGGACCCTTTCTTCCTCCCTTCTGGTGAATTGTCTCATGGTTGCTTTGTTTAAATGTAGGAAAATCTTGTCTATAGATTGCTGATTCTGAATTTAAGGTACTTTTGAGTAAGATTAAGGACCGATAGGAGCATTCTGAGATACTTTCAAGCAGAATTAGGGTTACTTAACTTTTACTTGGAACTTACTTAAAAATATTTTGAGATACCCTTGAGTAGAATTAAGGTTACTTGAACTTTTTCCTTTATAAATAAAAAGGAACCATGTCTGAAGAGAACCCAGATACGACAGCAGTACCGGTAACAAATCCAGTAAAGACCCACGTCACAGACCCCAGGAGAGTGGAGTTGGGACGTAGGCTTGCTAAGATCAGTAAGGAAGCAAAAGCAAGAAAGAAGGCACAACTTGAGGCTATCAAGGAAGAGGAGCAGAGCATTTCGGACACAGAGGACAAAGGTAATGAGTCGATAGTCACCCTAGAGTGAGTCGGCTTGGTAGTAGGTATCGCCGTAGGGCTCGGATCCCTTTACTTCATGTGGTATAGTCGTCAGGAAGAGGATGAGAAGCCTAAGGAAAATAAGACTGTAGAGGAACCGGAACCCATTGTTATTACTCCAAAAGGTCCTGACTTGTTTGACTGAGTATAATAAAACAATGTCACAGTTATTTTTGGACATACTGACCTTATTTGTAACAACCGGAACTGTACTGATTACATTCACACGCTTGAGGCAACAGGAGCCAAACGCAAGGTGATAGAAACCAAACGCAAGGAGAGTGAAGACAGGTTGCTCAACACCTTGGAAAGAAGATTCTCTCTAATCCTGGAAAAGAAGCTGAAAGACGAGAACGTTTAGGAGAAATATTCCTACTATAATAGAAACATAATGACCGACACGAAGAAGGAAGTGATCAACGAACTGTACGATGCTGCGCTATTAACAACCGGAGTTGTTGGGGTATCCTACCTTGCCAAAACGGTTTCCGGAAAAAGCCTCGGTGCACCGATGACCTTGGAAGGAGCAGCAAAGCTTGCCGTTGCCGTAGCCGGAAGCGCATTCACCATAGGGTATCTTAAGGATAAGGGTTACATCCCAAAAATGATTAACAAATAAAAGATGACATCTATTGTGGTAGGAGGACTCTTTAACGCCGTGTCCTTTGCTGGATCCGGTTTCCTATTCTCCAAGTTGAATGGGCAAGGCTATAAAGAAGAAGTGAAAAGACATAACCAAGCCCTAGAGAAGCTTGCGAAAGCTAAGGAGATCGAAGTTCTACGAATCCGAGGTAAAGCGGAGGAACGACGAGGTAAGACGGAGGGCTGAGATCCTGGATGCTAACAAGGACATCGAGGAAACAAACAGGGCATTGGAAGACCTGAGGGACTATACGAGGCTTATGGATAGTACATCACCTCAGCGAAAACCAAAATTAGAGGACTATTACCAACCATCGGACGAAATGAAAAGGTATGCTGTGTTGACAATGGGTATTTTAGGAGTCGGTGGTGCCTATGGATTGGCACGAATATTTTAAATCTTACAAAAAGATTTAAAACCCTATGTTGTCAGGAGGAAGCAATTTATGCTCGTAGGTCCCGTTCTATTGGTTACATTTCCGGCAGAGTCTATATCCTTAAACTCAACACCTTGAATCTGAACGTGCATAGTTCCGGATATAATGATGACTAAGAATGAAAACGACTGGATAATTCTACTATGCTGATCACGCGTAGACATGACAGTCGTTCCCCTACTTGTCTCATAAAATCCGTGTAGAGGGGATGAGCTCGAAATGTTTATACCATCACCAAAATTAGAGGACTATTACCAACCATCGGACGAAATGAAAAGGTATGCTGTGTTGACAATGGGTATTTTAGGAGTCGGTGGTGCCTATGGATTGACACGAATATTTTAAATCTTACAAAAAGATTTAAAACCCTATGTTGTCAGGAGGAAGCAATTTATGCTCGTAGGTCCCGTTCTATTGGTTACATTTCCGGCAGAGTCTATATCCTTAAACTCAACACCTTGAATCTGAACGTGCATAGTTCCGGATATAATGATGACTAAGAATGAAAACGACTGGATAATTCTACTATGCTGATCACGCGTAGACATGACAGTCGTTCCCCTACTTGTCTCATAAAATCCGTGTAGAGGGGATGAGCTCGAAATGTTTATACCATCACCAAAATTAGAGGACTATTACCAACCATCGGACGAAATGAAAAGGTATGCTGTGTTGACAATGGGTATTTTAGGAGTCGGTGGTGCCTATGGATTGACACGAATATTTTAAATCTTACAAAAAGATTTAAAACCCTATGTTGTCAGGAGGAAGCAATTTATGCTCGTAGGTCCCGTTCTATTGGTTACATTTCCGGCAGAGTCTATATCCTTAAACTCAACACCTTGAATCTGAACGTGCATAGTTCCGGATATAATGATGACTAAAAATGAAAACGACTGGATAATTCTACTATGCTGATCACGCGTAGACATGACAGTCGTTCCCCTACTTGTCTCATAAAATCCCAACCTCGTTCCCAGGGCTTCAGTGTGGGACGAGGCGAGACACGAGGAAGCCCTGGTCCGGGCCGGTCACTTTTGCAGTCTGATTGGCTAACACCATATTGTCTAAAAATAACTAAATTGACGGTTGACAATAACAAATTACAATACAATTCAACATTTGTATTTTTATGATTCTTGTGTGTACGAGTATGCTTTGCAAAATAATCTTTCAAAGTAAGACGTTTTCCCGACTGCACGATTTACTTTCGCCTCGGCCGGTTACAAAACTCAAAAGCCGTGTCGAAGTGAGCTGTGATGTTTTCTGACAAAACAAGAAATGTCTACTATTATTTAAGTTTTCCTTATACAGTATTTATTAGTGCAGATGTCTGATGAAATACTACGCGTATTGCATTGTAGTAATATTTTAATTTACAATATTTTGTACTGACAAATAAAAGCAAGACAAACAATTAAATTAAATGAAACTACTAAATTAATTTAGGCCCTGTTTACTTAATAGCTCTACGCCTAGGCCGATGTAGTCTACAAGATTCGCACGCCACCCAGTTTTTCAGTTTCAGAATACGCCGAATACTTGAAAATTGCGACTATACGATAAAATAAAACAAAGATTGTGAAGGGGATAAAATTTGTAGGCAAGCATTGCTCCTGAACGGCAAGTGTTGGTGTCCGGCGAAACAAGCGAACCGTGTATTCCTGTACAGCGTAAACCGGGTTACGCGAGGTTTTATATTTGTGTTTATTTAATATATTGAACTAAGTCAGATCTATAAGAGCATATTTAAACTAAATATTAATTATAGCAATAGCCATATTGTTCAAAACGAGAGAAAGGAAATTTCGTGTGAATCACCACTTGCATGGAGACGCCTAGATGCACTTGGATGCAGATCGAGCTTTGCCTGTAGTTGAAAATCTCCAGAAATATCGGTATATCTTAGAAAACATAGACGGGATCTTCATAGATTTTAGCTGATTCGTGTCAAACTTCGCTCTACACATAAATAATATCGATTGAGAAGCCTTTTGGCTATTTATTTGTTTCGAAGACTTGTATATTTCATTAAAGAATATCTCGCCACTCCTTGACGAGTAGCTGTCAAATACTGCCATTTTTTGACGTCACGTGACCGGCCCGGACCAGGGCTTCCTCGTGTCTCGCCTCGTCCCACACTGAAGCCCTGGGAACGAGGTTGATAAAATCCGTATAGAGGGGATGAGCTCGAAATGTTTATACCATCACTAAAGCTAAACTCCATGAATTTTGCATTCTCCTTATCGCTGTCAGTATTACCGGATGTTTGCAAAAATCCTGGTGGATAATCCGGTATCTGACTGAAATCGTACTGAACCACATTTTCTCCTAGACTATTTAACCATTTAATTTCGTTAGTATGTGTAACTATTTCCGCTGTGTTCCCTTGTTGTACATTTTCGGTTGTCGTTAACCTCCGTTTCAGGGTGTTTAGGTCCTCTGTTACTGTGTCGAAGTAATCGTACTCGAATAAGATGCTCATTTTTATTTAACGCCGAAATACCAGTTATGCAAGCCGCAAGCAAGGATGCTACCGCTGCAAGCAAGGATGCTACCGCTGCTGTACCGAGGGCAATATTCTGGGTATCAGACTTCTGCCTCAATTCCGGGGATTTAAAATCCTCTACAGTTGGAATTGGTCTAATAGTACGACTTTCACCTGTATTACTCGTATGGGTAGGAGTAGGGATGGAGTCATCATTAGTGTAGTTTACCTTCTCATTTTTTCGAAACATCATACCATTCTTAGCTACCGTTAGAACGTTGCTGAATCCTGGAATAGGTTTCATTAAAATCCTTAGATCCGAAGGGATTAGGATCAGACCCGGCATGATAGCAAAATTTAGGACAACATGTGTGTTTGCAATGGCCGTCCTCATGTTGGAAATGGCAACTGTCACATTATTTTGAACAATTGTATCCCTTGCCACCTTCCGAAAGACTTCCTGCGTTTGTAGACTTTTTGCACCGTGACCCGTAATACTCCATCGGGTTTTGGCTTGTGCCCCTAGGACTGAATACACAAACGCTTCGATTGATTGTTGGAATAACTTTTGTCCAACTTTGGTAAGTCCCCGGGATGTTTTAGGATAAGGGTCTTATAGTCATTTTCAACATCGAAGGGTAACCTACCGGTCAGGTATTCATACTCGATAAATTAACCTCCATATTTGGTCAAATGGTACTTTTGACGACGTATTTTCCTCTGTTCACTCACGGACTTGCCGCAGTACCATGTCCCAAAGTTTGCATGGGAAGAATCCGATCTCTTTTCCCAAATTTCACGTATGGGTGTATACTTCCTAATGGTTCGTCTGTCGTCCCCTGTAAGGTATTGGTCCAAGAGTTTGGGATTACGCATGAATATCGATAGGTGAAAATGAAGGTGGAAGCGAACAATGGAGGTTACTATATTGGAGTGTGAGTTGGGAAAGTTATTTGTAAGGTGATCCTCAGAAATTGCGGACTTAAACATAGCAACATAGCATGCTGCTAGGGAGCAAAAGTATGAATTCGAATGGTAATCAAAAGGTATAGTATTCCGGTGGGTTCATCATATAATGGTTTAATACGCTCCAATTTCGTTAGGAAATTTTTTGTCTCCGTAATGTAGACCTTAAAACTATGTGCATTGATCTTGAAATCCTTATTAGGACGGAAAATTGCATCCGGAAGAACACTTCGCCACCCCTCTACCCAATGGAGATAGTTAGTCCACTCCGGATTTGTACGAAAGGTATCGGATGTGATATCATAGCTTGTGAGGTCATTCACCTTATAGAAGATGTCTCTGGACTCTACGGTCCCATCCTTGGCAAAGGTAACCTCAAAGTCAAACTTAGATAGGGTTGCATTGGGATATTTTCTCCTAAAATTCTCTTTCATTTTCCGGATTTCAATGGGTGCTGCCGCCTTGACCTTTTCATAATTCGTTCCGTAGTAGTTTCGGAAGATATCCTCACTCATTCTTTTATTTGATGTAAAGTTCTAGCAAGACATCTCCGGGAACAGTTCCAGTATTAGATCCAATTTCAAACCGAATTTCATTGTATTTTCCAGCATCCACCCGTACCTGGCTTTCGATGTCGTTGTATTTGGTTGTGGTTCCGAAGAGAGGTCTGGTTCCATCAATTGGAAGGGAAGTGATGACGGTGCTCCGATTTCCGTACGGTCCAATGTTATGCTCACGATTCACAAGGTTGCAGCTGACCGTGAGGTATCACAAGCCTTCATGGATGTCTACGGGACGATCGCTGATATGTGGGGTGTATGTGGGACCATTGGAGGATCGGTATCCTAAAATACTCGTGAGATTTTGGAGTCCTGCGGAATTTGTTCCCTTAGCAAAGTCAATCTTTATCCTTCCATCAGGATACTCCTTAAGTGTCAATCCGTTTTCCTCCAATTCTTTCCTAAGCTGTTTAAAGGTCCAGTACCCTTCATCTATCATAATCTTCTACCCATCTACGGAAGTGTAGTCATTGTACCCCTTGCGAATGTTCTTATAATTCCAAAACACAGCAGCAGTCTTCACGTAAAGTTCAGATCCGTGGGTGAGGATCAGTGGATCTTGAAGATGGTGGGATTACCCTGGATATAGGTTGTTATCTTCTTCATGTTTTATTTACAGGTAATAAAATGAGTCTGGCACTGGATGTAGCTCTTCGAGAAATATATTTTAACGTTAACGGTGGGTACATGTCGATGGAAAAATTATACCAAAGTGCAAAGGAGGAGGGTATGAAGGGAGTCAGTCGGAAGAATGTTAAGGAATGGTTACAAACACAAAATACCTACATTATTCACAAACCATCCCGAAAACATTACAAAACCCAAAGAACCTATGTGGACGGGCTTGCGCAACAGATCCAAATGGATCTTGTGGATATGAGTAAATTTAGCCACAAGAATAAGTGAAACCGTTGGATCCTAACTGTCATAGAGGTTCTAAGCCGGTATGCATTTGCAATTCTAATATGGAGGAAAAATACTGAAAGCATGACAGAGGCTGTTAAAAATGTGCTCATACAATTTAAGGAAAGGATCGGTAGGTATCCTAAAACGGCACAATTTGACGATGGAAAGGAATTTTACAATGTAGGAGTAAAGACGTTGCTAAAGGATCATGATGTCCACTACTTTTCCACAAGAACCTTCCGGAAAGCCGCACTTGTTGAAAGATTTAATAGAACCCTTAAAACAAGGATGTGGAAATATTTCACGGAAAATAGGACGAAAGTTTGGGCGGACGTTCTACCTAACCTTGTCAGATCCTATAATAATACCATACACAGAACAATAGGGATGAGGCCGGTGGATGTGAACGAGGAAAATAAGGACGAAGTTTGGACAAAGATTTACGGATATCCACTAAGCAGTTTTCCAAATCCCAAATTTAAGATCGGGGATCATGTTAGGGTGGAAATAAAACATAAAACCTTTGAAAAGGGATACGAACCCAATTTTGATAATGAAGTATACGTCATTACAGCGGTGTTTCGAGGAGATCCAAACATGTACAGCCTTAAGGATCTTGAGGATGGGGAGGACATCCTAGGAAGATACTACGAACAAGAATTATCTTTAGACTTAAATAAAAATGGACACCATAGAGATGAATGACTTCGACCAACCGGAAGGGGCTGAAGGAGGTGATGAGGGGGTTACACCTGTTGATGAAGACGATTTCCGGGGCGGACTAAACGACCACGATAGACTAGACGATGCAAAAACCTCCAGTTTCTATGAAGAGAATAAAGACGACTCCTACAGAAAAAGGAGTTAGACGAACTGTACACATACGGAAAATTCGACGACATAAAGTCAGAATATATTAAAAGACTCCAGGTGTCCGATTACCGTATAAATGCGGACGATGGACCAGTTTCTAGGGACCTTTTATCCCGTTTGGACATCACTAGAAATAAGCTGACATTCAAAGGAACCGAAATCGCTTACATTGATACAAGTGGTATATACAGATTTTCCACCAACAAAAGATATAAAAAATTCGTATCGGAATTCAATACCAAATTCAACATAGCAGTCGGAGAACACATAACGAAGGCTAGAAGTGTAGTCGAAGAGGAAACCGGAGGAGAATCATCAGGAGAAACCGCAGAAGATATCCTCGAGGATGCTAGGGAAGAACTACATCAGGAAACCATCACTGCGAGTGAAACTCTTGCAGAACAAGCGGAAAGGTTGGAAAGAGAAGGTAAAATAACCACACATGAGAGAAGGGAATTTGTGGGAGTAACCGCTCCTAAAGGACCCCCGTAAGTTAGGATTGAATCCCTAAAAACCCAAAAGGTAATATTTGAAACAACATAGAACTCGAAACAGATCCTGATAAACGACAAATTATGCAAAAGGGTAGGATGTTGCCGAACAGGGTATTGATGACGCTAGGTTATAAATGGGTCAGCAATCCGAATCAGAGGAGGGAAGACACAGGTTTAGGGAAAAAGTAAGGTAAGACATCCGAACAAGATTCGAGAGATTCCGTAGGTGGGCAAAGGAAAACCTGGATGTGCTAACCGCTATCGCTATTTCCGTCGCTGGAATCATCACTACGGTTGCATTGGCAGGAAAGAAGACCATTGTGAGAGCATCCAAAGGACTAGGAGCTGTAGGAAAAGCACTGGCCGGACTTGCAAAATCTGCACTACCAATCCTAGTACCTATCCTAAATCTGCTAAGTGCTATTCTAAGCTGGGGAGCTAAGGGTCTTGCCTTTCTCGCCAAAAAACTATGGATTGTGGTAATCCTAATTGCTGGAGCTATATACAAGTACTTCCAAAGCAGACAAAAGAAATAAATTTTACTAAATTTAACATAATGGATCGAACAGCTGAACTTATGCCCAACTTTCGGCGTATGAATAGGACAGAAATCACTGGGAGTAGGACCAGACATGTCCTAACTTTTAACCCCAACTCCGCTAAACCGGGAGAAGAAATTTACGTCAATATCCCAAAGCTAAAAGCCGACTCCGTTCTTGTACCGGACAGTATCGCTTTGGTCTTCGACTCTAAGAACAGTAATACAAAATCCTGGTTTAGAAACAACCTAGGTAAACTTCTTCAGAAAAGACTAGAAATCCGACTTGCAGGAGAAAAAGTCTACGACAACAGTGGAAAAAGCCTACTGGAAGTCTACAAAGACCTATGGTTGCACAAAAAACAGCGTGATGACATAGTGGAGGACGGCATTGCTACCGAAGCTACGAGGAAGAAAATCTCCAAGGATGATGCCGCAAACGATGATGCTGATGCCACCGCATTGTTCGGCGTGTTTGGAACAAAACAGAGAATCAAGGTCAACAAAATTTTTAAAGATCATGGGCTCTACGCCCCACATAACATGGCAAACGACCTACAATATGTGATTACCCTACCTGCAGCAGACGAAATCATGAGTGCACAAGGAGGAGAATCCGTAGAAGGATATACCTTGGAGAACATCGAATTGGAATATAAGTCCATCGATAATAATGACCTTGCAAGGAAAGCCGAGGGTCCGTATGGATCCGAACGAGAGCTATCCTTCGAACATACCACCCTGATGAAGAAATCCGAATGGGACAAAAACTCCACCATCATTAATGAGACAATCAATATACCACGCAGGAGCATGAAAGCCATCGTTATGTTATTCACAAACAAGACAAAATCTGACAGTGAAGAATATGTATGTATACCCCAACATCGAAAAGGTCAAGGTAACCGTAGAGGGTGTTCCAAATTCAGTCTATAGCCAAGGTATCCCGAAAACAAGGCTATACGAGGAGGCAAGGCGACTGTTTGGTACTGACGAAATCAACCATCAGACACTAACCGGCTTCTTTAAAGACAAAAAATTCGCACTGGTCATTGATCTCAGAACCGCAAACGACGCCAACACATATGGAAACGGTGCTAAAATTCAGAACACCCAGTCTGGAATACTGGTGGAAATCACAAAGAAAGCTATAACTGCACACGTTGTATGTTACATGTTCGTCCTTTCCGACGGTGTTATCAGGATCGCGAACGGGCAACTTGCTGGGGTAAAGTACTAGATTATCTGGGAATCGTAGTTTTTCCATACTCAACAGAGTTTGGAAAATTTTTTATGCTTGATCATCAATCTTCGGTCCTTCCTCCTCAGAAGGTGGTTGTTCAGGTGCTCTCCGATAGACATGTTTCACTGTAGTCACTCCACCGCTAAAGATCCCTAGGTAGGGTACGTATGGGGACAGCTTTCACACCACACTCTTAACATCACTCCTAAACAGCTTATCCTGATTCAACCCCGTCCTCAGCTCCTCCCCACTATGCACCATGTTGATGGCTTCCATAATGTTGGAAAATGTTTCAATCAGAGCTTCCGCCAACACGGCGTTTGCCTTTTCCCTCTGTGCAACGATGTAGTCCTTCCGAACTTTCATGATGACTTTTTCGGACGCTTTCCTGAGGTATTTTTCGAACTGAGTAATTTCCCCTGCATTGGACAGGCGGATAAGTTCTGCACTATAGTCCTTAATCCCCGTATTTTCTACGGTCGGTGGCTCCTGTTCCATCCCTTTTATTATAACACCGGAATTTTTACCTCGTGATTAAACGGATGTACCAGGTCCAATTCAAGATGAGCATACTTATTCTCCTTCAGCTTCTCCTTAATAGACCTCATTTCCGCATTGTCAACAAGAAGGTATTCATCCAGGATAATCTTCATGTCCTGCCTATTTGGATTATAAAATGTTACTAATTTCGAAATATTCTGCCTGTACGGTTTAGCAATGGAGGTCAGCTGTTGGGTAATAACAATGGTGGAAATACAGTATGACGTGCGCTAAACCCAAGATCAACAAACTCCCCCGTAAGGTCCTTTACAGACTTAGTGCTGGCACAGTCATTCAAGATGATGAGGGATTCCCTTCCCTTGGTGAAGTCCACTACAAATTTAAGGTAATCCTCCACGTCATCCTGCCGGCAGGGAATAACAAAGAAATTGCCTTCCTCATGAATGAACTCTTGATCATAGTCCTATTTCAGTGATAGGTAGGACAAATCAGGAATATATTTTCAAACTGATGAAAGAACGTTGTCTTTAGCTCCTGAATGAGGTAATGCGTCTTCCCACAGGCTGTCATACCTACAATAATCATGTTAAATGGCATTTTATTTTCCGGTTAAATAAAAATGGGATGCCTGTCCACAAAACCTGAAACCGCAAACAGGGTGAAGCACAACAAAAATCATAAAAGGAGAAAAATGTTTAACCTGGGTATCGGTATTGAACGAGGAGACATCACAATGAGCGCACATACTCACGTCGGTTACGCCAGCGCAACGGTAAAAAAATATGATAAACAAAACGATGAAGGCTGATGTGGCTGTGCCTGATCAGCTGCCTATTAATCCCGATAACGGTTGAGGTCCTTCTCGTCATCGTCACCCTAAATTTACTACTTCAATTTTAATGCTTATAGAACATCAAAGTTATTCGAGATACTCCCAGCCTAATGTCCGAAATATCTTCCTACACCGATCGTGCGGAATCTTTCCCTTAGGAATCTTAAGTAAAGACTCATCTATCTTCATGTTCAACCTCCTACATACCTGATATGTCAGAATATTGAGATTAGGAAGCCTCTTCCCTCTGGGTTCCTCTGCTTCGCAAATCCACCTAATATTTTCCACAACCTCATATACCCTTCCACCAAGCAGACCATAAGCCGTTATGTTCTTCCTCTGACAAAAACTATAGAACTTAAAACTAACACTACTCTTGTCTGGACCATTCACACCTGCCCTATCCCAACAATCATACTCCGAAACATAAGGAGTCGGACCAGATACCAACCCACACTCATTACACGACCGTTCCACCATCTATACTAACAAACTGATGCTTGATTCTCCCAAAGCACAGCCTCTTACCGGGAACTTCCTCATCGGTGTGTTGTGGTGGATCCGTCTCTTCCTGACTAACAGAATCCAGGTACTCCTTATACGCTATTCCAAAGAGCTTCATGTTCCCGGCGGCACTCATACTTTTATTTATACTGGTTCGCTCCGATAGGTGTTATTGGCAATAGGACATAAAGATCTAAGGTAATAGAATTTCGATACCCTCATATTAGGGTATTAAAATTGCACTAAACCTACAAAAGCATCTCCCTAGATTTCATGGGAGGATCCTCCAACATCCGTGCCTCGTACAACTTCACCTGAATGGAAACTACGTCCTCGGTTACGTATATGCTATCGATCCTAACGACTGCGTTAAGATAAAACCCCTCATCCATGTACTTCTTGTGGCTCACAGGTTTGTCGCCTACGGGAGGGTACATCCGTGTGTCACCATCGATCTTGGTGTACAATACCGGGTGCCAGTCCTTGCGGTAAAGACACCTCATGAGCCTCTCGCTACGTCCGTATTTTGACGGATCGGACACCTGCTTAACAGCTTCAGCCTCTACAAGCTCTAAAGCGGATAAAAATGACTCCCTGTCCTCCAATACTATCGGGACAGAGTATTTAATCTTACCAAACCTGTCGTCCGCGATTACTCCGTAAGAAAAACAATTCTCGACCTTTAATAAGAGTGGACCCCGGTCCTGTGTTAGTATTCTGATCCTATTGAATCTGGATCCCTGATTGGTAACGTCCTCGAAAGTAAATGAATCCTTGGAGAAGTCTGAAACTTTGGTAATGGACATGGCTAATTATCATACATGTCTACCCAGCTATATGTTGATTCCGCGGGAACTTCAGTAAGACCCCGGCAAGCATGAATGTGGGAGGGCTGTGTGGAAAATTGTGCGGAGGCTGTGCGGGGGACTTGTGGATGGTTGCGCGTTGTCGTGGGCGAGTTGGGGAAGAGATGTTCGAGGATGGTGTGTTCCCAGTGTGGCGCAAGGGTTGTGGGGTTGGGCATGCCCATACTTGCCCGGGTACATAATAATTTATCTTACATGAAGTATTGACATTTTATGGGATAGTTTCTGTAGTGATGTCCATAAACCGGCCGTTATTAGCTACTAGTGTGTGCGAATTGAAAACTCAAGAAAACAAACGGTGGCCTACCACAAGGAACAAAGCTAGGACCACTGCTTTTTGCAGTCCTTGTAAATTCTTTGCTCAAGGATTGGCCTGGGAGAGTCAAATTTGTCGATGATACTACGGCCTTGGAAATAATCCCTACCAATTATCGTGGACCAAATATCCGATTATGCAAACGAACGAGGAATGAGACTAAATCCAAAGAAATGCAAAGATATGGTTATTACGTTTCTTAAGTATAAACTAGTAGAAAATGACATTTTTATAGGCGGTGATGTGGTGGAGAGAGTCTCTAGTTTTAAACTACTAGGCTTGACCAACAACCTTTCGTGGGATATACACGTAGATAAAATTTCAAAGAAAGCGGATTCACGCATTTATGCTTTACGCCTATTAAAGAAAGCTGGACTGAGCCCTTTAAACATTGTTCATATTTATTGTGCAGTTATAAGATCCCAACTGGAGTATGCATCACCAGTTTGGTCCGCTCTTCCAAAGACATTATCAGACCTTATTGAGTCGGTGCAAAAAAGTGCTTTAAAAATCGCGTATCCCACTCTATCTTATGATGAAGCATTACGGAAAAGTAACATTAAACTACTGAGTACAACATACATACATACATACATACATACATACATACATACATACATCGCCTTTATTTAAAACACGGTAAACCTTCAGTAATATTACATAATAAATATAGTCAAAATTATTCTAAGCTTAAAAATATTTGGATTCACAAAGATCTTTTAAAAGATGAAAGTGATAAAGATGATCTCAGAGATTCAGGCAAGCTATTCCATAATGAAGCTCCACTATAACTAAAGGAGCGCTTAAGATAACCGTTCTAGGTTTAGGGAGAAACAGTTTGCCTTCAGAAATCAGAATCTCTGAGACTATAGTGACTAATTCTAGTTACAAACAAATCTTGTAGATACATAGGTGTTAAATTGTTCGTGACTTTATACATGAGAATTGCTTTTTGCATTTTGCGGTTATTATATAAATTATTCCATCTAAGTTCTTCAAGTACAGAGCTAGATAAAGCATCATAGGAAGAACGTGTTATAACACGTGCGGCTTTATTTTGACGTTTTTGCAATTTATCACTCAAATTACTACCAATGCCGTCCCAAACAGGAGCGCAGTAGGAAAAATATGGCTCAATTAGTCCCTGATACACTCTAGCTGCTGTATCTTGACTAATATAGCTTCTTATTCGCTTTAAAACGCTAATTGCGGCCGAGACTTTTTTTGAGCTTTCATCAATATGCTTTTCCAGGTCAAGTTTTCATCAATTTTAAGTCCTAAAGATTTAGAGCTACTGACTCTTTCAATTTGATCATTGCCTACAAAAACATTAATTTCATGGTCATCAAATGTTGCAAGTCTTTGACGAGAATAAGCCATTCTTTAAGTTTTCCAAGTTCGGTATTCATAAGATCTTCAAGCTCATCAAGTTTATTAGTTTGAAAACTTATGTTGGTATCATCGGCATACATTCTAGGTAACCCCTCATTCAGGCAGGTTATTGATATAGACTAAGAACAAAAGAGGACCAATAATAGAGCCCTGAGGAACCCCGTAAGTTATGGGACAACTGTCGGAAAAGTTTCCATTGCATGACAAAACACTTTTGTTTCCGATTTGTTAAATATGAGTGGAACCATGTCAAAGCATTATCATCTACTCCATAATGTTTTAATTTAATCAGAAGTATGTTGTAATCAATAGTATCAAACGCTTTCTTTAGAAGAGAAGAAGCATGTAAGAAATTAATTAACTCACTTCGAGAACAAGATTCGCCACACAACCCTTTAACTGCAATAGTTAAATCCGGTCTACCAGACCGAACTCATAATTATGATCTGCGTAATAATAACCCGCAACTCTTACCGATAATGTCTGAACGGTTAAACTTAAAGAACTTTTTTAGCATTAAGTATAGTTAAATTTTTATGAATACATTTTTATAATAGGTAGTTTAATAGTTAGAGTATATTATCGTAATTTACCCTAATTTAGGGTAGAATACATATTATCATACTATATAACATTGTTAATGTAAATTTTAATATTTAAATAATGTAAATATTGTTTCCATGTAATTCAGCTTTAGCTGCAAAATGAATTTAATTAAACTAATAATAATAATAATAATAATAATGATAATAATAATAATAATAATAATACCACTAAGTAATGATAAATTATTGTTAATAATTATTTTATTTTTTGTGCGTTTATTCCTTCTTTTATTTCAAACACAAGTATACAGTAGTTAGCATAAATTTTAGAGCAAATTTGGATGCTCAGAATGCAGGAAATGGCATTTCCGGGTTTCAAATTTCAAAAATTTTCTGCGGGAGTTTTATGCGTGGTATGTCGGCCACACACGTGGCCTTCAACCATTGCTATCCCCCTCTAATATATTATCTTGACAGGAGCGGAACGAAACATACTTACATTTTTCATAACGAGAAGTAGTGTCTGTTTTTATGTCTTTTTGAGTTTTTGAAGGTGGAAAAACGTTTTTATACGTAAAATCGCGTGTACCTATAAAAATATTTTCATAATAGAGTGCGCGTTTGACAAACATGGGCCACTCTGCCAGTAAAGATCCAAAGATCAATAAAAATCATAGCAAACAACGATCTCAATCTCGAGGGACATTTGCAGGCGGGATACAGTAGTAAAACCATTAAGAACTACGAACCTGTTGAAAATGCCTCGACAAATGACGAACCCAATTAATGATAATATTCGAAATGACGAACGCAATGATAATATTCAAAACGTTGAAGAATGAAGCGATTCCTTCATTTCACGTGTGAACATGGACGAATTTTACGATCCAAAACGTCCAGGAGGATTTGGCGGTGCGATCGTACAGACGTTTGCGATAAGCCGTAAGGAAATTAAAGAATGGCTGATGAAACAAGATGCATATACGTTGCATAAACCCATGCGTCGCCACACACATTTTTAAACAAAATCGCGTCATCGTGGGTGGCATCGATCAGCTAGCAGTGGCAAATGGATCTGGCAGACATGCAATCCATACAATAGTTTAATGACGGTTACCGTGCTCTGCTCGTTTGCGTTGATGTCTTTTCCAAATATGCATGGTAGTCCCGTTGAAAAACAAAACGGGTCCTACCTTAGTTGAAGCTTTCAAAGTTACTTTGATCGTCTGGACGCAAACCTGAAAAGATCATGACGGATCAAGGAACCGAGTTTTTAAACAAACATTTCCGAGCACGTGCACTGATGAAAGAAGAGGACATCGAACTGTACAACACGTACAACGAAACCAAGGATCTAGATTCTATCGCGGAACGGTGAAACGTCTGATTCGTACTCTGAAGACGAAGAAGGCGTTATTTTACTGCCAAGAAAACCGTGAGATACGTGGACATGTTACCCGATCTGGTATATTCGTGGAATCATAGTGTTTACAGTAGCATTAAGACAAAACGCGCGGAAGTTACTGCTGAAAACGAAGAGAAAGTATAATATGATAATAATATAATAATAATAATATAATAATAATATAATAATAATAATATAATAATAATATAATAATAATACAATAATAATATAATAATAATATAATAATAATATAATAATAATATAATAATAATATAATAATTGAATATTAGTTATTTAGCGGAATATTTTAGTTTCGTTATTTAGCTACTTAGCGGTAAATATTTTAATTATGTAGCGGTATATGTTCCAGAGTTTGTTTTTAAAATTTAACTGTACATTTCAACAAACATTTAGATGAATGAATGAATGAACAACTTTATTTAAAGAGGGTAGAAACACATGACAGCAATATAGCTGATAAACCTGTGGCCCTCATATACAATACATACAAAGTTATTAATTCTACTTTAAAACGTCTAAAGGCTATTTAGAGTAAATATGTAAAAGGTCTTAGGATTATAAATTTATATATACAAATTATATACAGTACAACTTGATGGTACGTCACAATAATAATTCGAAGCGATCGATGCCCTTATAAGATTCTAAGAAGTATTTTTTAAGGGCAAACTTAAAGGAATTAACGCTAGGTTTCGTCTTAATATCCTTCGGGAGATTGTTCCATATTTTAATGCTGCTGACCGTTACAGATTTTCCTCCCTCAGTTGCATAATTATATTTAGGACACACTAAATTATATTCGCCATGACGAGTTTGTCTACCATTAATTTCATTGTTTGTTTTAAATAAGTCCTTAATATATTGTGGAGCTTGATCATGTAGGCTCTTGTAAACTAAAGTGCATTTGTTAATTTTAACTTCGTCATAAAAAGGTATCCAGTTCAGTTTATTAAAATTGGCTATTGACCTGGAGGAAGTGTCAGTTCCTAAAATTACCCAAGCTGCTCTTTTTTGTAATTTAAAAATTCTAAGCAGATCATTTCGCGAGCAGCAACTCCAAATAGAACTACCGTACATCATAACTGGCTTGACGACAGCGTTGTAAAATAGCTTTCTCTCAAGTAGTGGTAAGTATCTTCGTATCTTTCTCAGGAGGCCGATTTTTTTACTAAGGTTTTTACTAAGTTTGTTTATATGCTCTTTGAAAGTTAAATGTTCATCAATGATTACACCAAGTAATTTTTGTGAAGAAACCAGTTCAATATTTGAATCACTTGCTGTAAGAGGTAAGGAAGATAATTGCACTCGGGATTTAAGGCGTTACCAGTAATAAGAATTGATTTGGTTTTGTCAGCGTTTAGTACCATTCTATTTTTGTCTGACCACTCACATAGTTTGTCTATATCGTGTTGAAGGTTAACTTGTAATTCAGTCGACGCGACAGAGAAGCTGGAACTTGAAGAGAAAGTGGTGTCATCTGCGTATACATCAACAGTTGAATTAGGTATGTTTGAAGGTAGATCATTTATAAAAGCAAGAAAGAGAAGAGGGCCCAGAATGCTACCTTGAGGGACACCATGAGTTATACATAATGGGCGTGATTTGAAGCCGTTGGTTTCCACAAACTGTGTCCTGTCTGAGAGGTAATTTTGGAAAATCTTGAGATAGGTATCATCCACTCCATAAGCGCTTAACTATTAAGTATTAACTAAAATAATAATAACAATTGTAACTATTATTATTATTTAATTGTTATTACTTAACTATTATTCTTTTTTTAGATACTTTTTTAATTAAGCCCAAAGAACAGATTATTTAATATAGTCATTGATAACAAAAGCATTATTGTATATTTTGAAAATTAAAAGAATCATATTATATATTATTAAAAAAAAAAAATTGAATATAATAATAATATAATAATAATATAATAGTAATATAATAATAATATAATAATAATATAATAATAATATAATAATAATAATATTAATAATATAATAATAATATAATAACAATAATAATTTATTTATAAAATAATCCTACTACATTAATAACTATTTACTAGTATATACAAGGAAGTGAGTCTAAATTGTTGTAGTATGTTATAGTATATGTTATAGTAAGAATTTATGGTAAAAGTCTAAGCCTAAATTTTGGCACGAGAATTGTCTACTTCGAAGTCCGTTTCTT